AATAATAATTTATTTTATTTAGAACCTCTCTATATTCTTTTTTCAGATTTAAAATATTGGAATATCATGAATTTTTCGCGATATATAATATGTGCGACTACTCACCCAACGTCTTCAAGAATTTGCAACATCTTCTCCTCCATGTCGATTGTACGTTTTCAGATCTTTGATACTATTATTGAGCAAAATGTAATATAATAAATATATAATACAATAAAGAGACGAATATCGGACCGTACTTGTACGAGGATTTAGCGTAAGACGAATTGCGTCGCGACAATGAAATGTTTCATCACCAATTCGTTCAATTCTCCGATATTGCCCGATATTGCGACAATATGTTCGTCGCATGTATCGCGCATAGAACCGGTAACCGGTTGCCTCGCGTCGCGCATCGCGCATTCTTACGTGAAATTTTATACAAGAGAGCACATAGGATGCGTTCCGTTTGACACTACGAAGCATTCGACGCGTTTGATTGACCAATCGGGACCAGGATCTTCTCGCTTTCATTGGTTAATCAAAACTCTCGCGATGTCAAACGGAATATAAAGTCCGCTTCCAATGCCACAGTTTTGCGGATATGAGATCACCACCAGTGTTGTTCTCGGGGACGCTTTCTCGCGCATGCGCGTTAAACGTGGCCTTAAGATACGTGTCAAATTTATAAGAAAAAGGGTACTGTTAAGCCCTCTGCTCAGATAATGTTAAGAATAATCTAAAATGTTTTACAAATTAATGAATCACAAATAAATAATAAAAAATTAATAAAAGACGATTATAATTAGCTTAAAAAATTTCTGGCATTAAACATATTATTGTAAGTAATGTACGTACACAAATATGTACTACATACGCCGTCGCTGGATTTCTCTACCAATGCGCTGCGCATGCGCGAGAAAGCGTCCCCGAGAACAACACTGGCCATATCCACTTTTTGATGCCATGATAAAGCCCTGATTAATCAATCAAACGCTTACTTGAAGTATTCATTGATTAATCTAATAATCCAAATATTTCTAAAATCCAAGTAATAAATTAATAATTAATTATAAAAAGCTATATAAATTAAAAGCATGATTTGATAATGTTTAAAATTCTTAATACTTTTCAAGAATTATTCTTAACATTATCTGAGCAGAGGGCTTAACAGTACCCTTTTTCTTATAAATTTGACACGTATCTTGACCCTACCGATAATTTATTAGCGTTTTTGAATGAAGCAAGTTTAATCGCTTTGAAAGTGATTAAACCCAATTTACGGGGTTAAATATATATTTGATCAAAAATAGATTTTGAGAGAATCCGATTAATATAAATAATATAAAGTACATTCTCTGTTTTTGACGCTATTTTGTCTTTAAAGTACAAGATTCTTTGCCCTGATTAATCAATCAAACGCTTACTCGAAGTATTCATTGATTAATCTAATAATCCAAATATTTCTAAAATCCAAGTAATAAATTAATAATTAATTATAAAAAGCTATATAAATTAAAAGCATGATTTGATAATGTTTAAAATTCTTAATACTTTTCAAGAATAAGAGAAAAGTAAAAGCAATTTATTGTAAATATCTTCTACACGTTATATATTTAAAAATTAGGAAAAAAATATTAAGAAAATTAATTTAAGAATATTTATTTTGTCATTTATTATATGTGCGCATATATATAAAAATATTTCAATAATAACTTTTATTATCGCTGTCCGTAATATATGCTAGAATGGCAAAATATCACGCACAGCTAATAAAACATTAATAAATCTTTAATATTTCTCCGCAATTTTGATCCACAGTTATAGACCTAGCACACACATGTACCAACCGGTTGTTTTAGCACCGAAAAGTGAATTTGGGAATCGATTGTGTATCTTTGAAACGAAGTGAAAATTACTAAAGTGAACAGATTTACTAGATTTCGACAAATGAAATCGTAGATACTCTAGTGAATTTACTCACTTTAGTAATTTTCACATTGTTTTAAAAAACGGCGGCGTGACCCCTCTCAGGCTTTTCTCTGGTATAACGTCGAAAAGACGCTGGAAATGCTTCGAAGCGTTTGATTGAGCAATCAGGACAAAGAGAGTAAATATTTCTTTATTCTAATTGGTTAATGCAATGCTTCGAACCATTTCTAGCGTTTTATCGACCGCAGCCATAGTGATCCAAACTAGGAGACCATATCCTAATCGGACCAATCACAGCGATCGCTGCTTAGGGTTTTTTCACTAGACCATACGCGATTTACCAATCGAAGAAACGCTCTTCGCGATAGATATCGAGTGATCAGTCGTTATGGAAAAATCATATTTGAATCGAATATTGCTCCGTATTTCTCGCGATCATTATTATTGACTAAAATTGAATCTCGAGCGCGAAAAATGCGCGCGTGCCTTTTAAACTGTCAAATTGCGTATTTTCCGTAATTTATCGAATATTACGTTTATAATCGTTACTATTATGATTTCACTATTACGATTTCGGCAAGTCTACTTCTATTTCGGAGTTTTGTGAAGTTGATCAAAAATGTTTTTCGTTTCTTTGACACAGTTATTTTCCCGCTTAAGTAATTAATACAAGTGGAACTGTTGGATGGTCATCATCAGGTACCTATATATTGTTATTTTATAAATAATTATATCGATTTTTTTTTTAAATTCAGACACATACACGCACCTTTGTCAATAGTACGAGAATCGCATTCGATAGATTTCAAATGGCAGTGATTTTACAAAATATCGTCGCGACAAATTGTGTTCGAATCGTATTTTGTTTTTGCAATTTTTCTGATGAAAAATAAATCTTATACGCTAAGAATTAATTGTGAATGTCTCTTTAAAGTGTCAGATGCACTCGTGTAATACATTAAATGTCATGTATAACTGATACATGGAAAAATCTACAGATAGAATATCAGGTAAGAAATGTGTCTCTGACGAAAAGAAAAAAAAAATAAAATTTTATCTGTGCTTCATTTATTTTCTTCAATAATATAAAATTGCGTTAATACGAGATGCATATGTTACAATATTTCACAATGCAACACGTCTTCGGCATGATTGTGGGTACGATTACGGGAAACGATTGAGTTTGTGTTGTGTTGCTTTCATTTAAACGCGTAATCCTGTACGAATCGTGCTTTGGTCCGTAAACAGTGGCGGATTTTGCAGGAAACTTTAAAAAAGGTCATAAATAAGGAAATGCTATTCTTTATTTATTAAAAAAATATTATTTTAATAATAAAGAATGGTATTTTTATTTTTGACAGATTTTTATAATTAAAATGTGTGAATCCGTTTGTAAATCGTCAAATATTAATTAAATATACCTTTTTCTAGTCGAAAGAGGTTTCTCTTGCGTTTTATTCTGTACTCTTTGCGTTAGAGTTTGTATAATAGAATCAGGTAGCGGTTTGCTATCCGTTCGAGTTGGAGCATTATATGGTACGGAGGTGCCAGTTACGTGCGGTTGAGATTTCCGCGCCGGCGATCGTTGATTTCTCTCATTAATCCTCCTTTGTTCTGCCTCCTATCGAGTGGGAGAATACATTAGAATAATAATACGTAACTAATTATTTATATTATCTGTATCTCATTATATACTATACACTATTAGATATGTATTCAATTTTGCCGGAAATTTAATACAGAAAAAATTTTGCTAAATATGTTTAGAATAAAATATTGAGTTTTAAAGAAAGTGGGTTCTCAGAAAATTAAATAAATTATTCTTTAATTTTCTATGCGTCTGAAAATTATCGGAAAGCTAAAGACGGAGTTATATAAAAAAATTGATGTTTGCCAGTTAAGATAATTTTTTGATACGTACTTGAATGAGCCAATGTTGATAATTTACATCGTGAGCGCCTCTCGGCACGTCACTTTTCCTCCGCTGAACCCATTGATCACCTTGGACAATTCGTGGTCGCGGTACTGCGCTTAACGCCTGTAAGGTTTGTCTGGACATTTGCTGACCAGCGTGATTCGCGAGCATCGTTGCCGATGCGTTCTCTCGAATCGATGCGTCTACTTGTTGGGGGATCGAGTCCGCGGACGGTATACGGCTGTTTCTATGCATTCGGGATTAAATAAAAAAGTTCAATAATTGCGATCATATTATTTCATAACGTGGAGAAACTTAGAGTAACGCGAAAGCATTTACAATACATTATTTATATTTACCTGATAGTAACATCTCTTTGTCTTTGATCTAATATACGTGGTTTAGTAAGCGGAATCGGCGGCGGCGGTGGTCTTCTTCTCGGCAGGTCTTGAAACTGTAAATTTGGCATCGAAGATCTATAATTCACTGTAGGCGTATGATATTTGTATTGTTGCGTATTCTTCTGAACAGAATTCTGCGCAACGTCTTGCAAGGATTTCCACTGTTCCTGTAACTGCTCCGCTAATCTAAGTTGTTTTTGCTCACGATAAGCCAAATTATTTCGTTGTCTTTTTAATTCTTCCTGTTCCAATTGCAGAAGTTCTCTTTCTACTCGCAGCACTTCCTAAAGGGATAATATACAATATCTTTCTATAATTGTATTTTCTATCCTTATTTATCTATATGCATTATCTATCTAAAATATTAGACACAGGAATTTTGAACTTTGTCATAATTCTAGTTTTTTTTTTTTTAATTGAAGCAATTATTATTGGCATGATTGTGGGTACGATTACGGGAAACGATTGAGTTTGTGTTGTGTTGCTTTCATTTAAACGCGTAATCCTGTACGAATCGTGCTTTGGTCCGTAAACAGTGGCGGATTTTGCAGGAAACTTTAAAAAAGTTTGGTTTATAAATATATAAAGAACATTCCTTATTTTAACGACACGAATACATATAAGAGTTATTTAAATAAAAAACTACGTTTCAAAAATAATGGCAATAAACACGTAGAAAAATCAATATAAATTATTATTTTCAACGATCGGAAAATATTGAAGCTTGTATTGTGATGTTAATGTATTATAAATGGACCTGCATACACCATTGTTTGCAATTATCGACTATTGAATGCGTAGAATCGATTAGATTTTATTATTTCAACAGAAACTCGATTTCGTGTTATTCACTTCCGATTGAGAAAACAATCGCGCATGTTCTGTTATTCGAATATACGGTGTAAATTATCTGGTATAAATAGAGAATACGAGAATTATATATATTACAAAAATATACAGCGCCGCTAAATCAACGCCAATTACATTGAATCTTAACAATTACGATTTCTTATCTCTATACTAATTACATAAATACATCTTATATACATCCTTCACGTATGATTCGTGTTAGTTGATAGAAACGATTGCATACATATGTGTGAGAACTCATTATTTTGAAATAAAAACACAAAAGATTATATATATTTATATATATGTATATCTAATCGGCGGACATGGACATGGTATCATTCTTCTATCTCGACTGTCAAAATTACATTTATGCACATTTATTTATATGTCGTTTGTATCCAGTGATATTTTTTAAGCAAGGGTAACTGAATAGTTGAGATTATAAAAATCATACGGTTTAACCAAAAAGCATTACAATCATCAAATTAATCAGCTTAATTTCGTTAACACCAGGCTTCTACACACAACTGAACTTGACACCTGAAAATTTAACAGCGATATAAGTTGTGAAATAAAGATATCCTTCCGAGATGTTCTTTTACATTGCAATCGCGTTGTAATAGTTGACTTTTTTTACGTTTTTTACAATCACACAAAACTTTCATATTGATAAATATATATTTAAAATTATTAAAAATATGAATTTTTTTAAAGACGTTCTTTAGTTATTTTTACATAAAGAAGGAAGTATGTATTTTATCGTATCGTTCTCGGAATCGATATGCGCTCAATCGGATGATTATACATAATACAATGTTTAAATAGAGTTAAATGTATGTACCGTCGTCACTGGAGTAGCAATTATGGCAGTGGAGCTTATGATTTCGGACGCGCACGTCCGTACCCATCAATCCATCGCCGAGACGTACGTGGCATACGCAACATTTGAAGCACTCCATATGATAAAACAACCGTAGACTTTCGATTATCATTGCGGCGCCACGACCTAGAGATCGTAAGGATATCATGTTAATAAGTATATATAATGGTGAAGAAACATTCGAGAGAATTCATTCTCCGCTAATCTAAGTTGTTTTTGCTCACGATAAGCCAAATTATTTCGTTGTCTTTTTAATTCTTCCTGTTCCAATTGCAGAAGTTCTCTTTCTACTCGCAGCACTTCCTAAAGGGATAATATACAATATCTTTCTATAATTGTATTTTCTATCCTTATTTATCTATATGCATTATCTATCTAAAATATTAGACACAGGAATTTTGAACTTTGTCATAATTCTAGTTTTTTTTTTTTAAATTAAAGCAATTATTATTGAAAATAACAAAAATTTAGATAAATCTATATATGTATAAATGTTTTTAAATTCGTAAATAAATACGTATATTTTGTTTAAAATTCTCACTTGTTGCTTTCGATTCTATAAAAAGAACATTCGAGAGAATTCATTCGATTACCTAATTCCTCTCCGCAATGAGAACATTTTTTCTTCCCGCTCACGCTTAGCATTTTTTCTTGATTCCCGTTGTTACTCGTGATTGGAGGATTATGTGTTTTTTGAGATTGTAACGTGTACTGTGGCGATTGATGTTGCACAGTTGTCAAGTGTTCTTGAGTGTGAACTTGTTCTGATCTGAAATCATAAAAAAAATTTTTTCATAAAAATATATATATATATAACTCAATAAATATAATAATAAAATAAAATATCTTGATATATATGATTAATCTTTTGTATAATATACTATAATGCAAATAAGAAGATCGAATCAAGCTAGTTTCAGATTAGTCAATTAGTCCGAAAGATACTTAAAAGAGATAGCTACGAGAGATAAATAGAATTTTGATATGGATATTTACGTAAAAGTTCAGTGCAAACAAGCGATTAAAAAATTACAATTATTGCCTTACCCCAGAAGGGAATTCATCTTCGTTGTTGCGCAACCCAGCACCGACCAATGCTTTGTTCTGCGAATAATTAGCAACAATCCCTCCATCAATATTTACACTATGCTATATACTTAATTTGCACCGTCTACTATTCAACAATCAAATCCTTCGGGCAATGTTGCAATAAGCGATGATTTTTATAAATAAAAAAAATAGAACAAAAACAACATTGTTCAAAGGATATGTGATAATAACATTTTTTCAAGCTATCGGTTAAAAATGCGTGCCACGTATACTAAAGGAAATATGTGCAGTTTCAAGTTTCTTGCAAACGAAAAAATTGACAGAAAAATATCACAGAGAGAACATAATCGGAAAGATAGTAGGGGTCTTGGTCTAAATTCACTATCTACTTTTTAACATCGGCTCTTTATTTCCTCATTAGCTCGTTACTCGACGAAAAGAGCCGAGCGATTGGCCTTACCTCTTGCTCGCGAATTTGACTTTCCATCGTTCGGATGCGCAATTCTTCCTTGCGACACGCATCGACGACTCTTCGTTCTTTCTCTTCAATCTCGTTCTGCATTCTCAGCTGTTCCGACTGCATCTTGAGTTCCCCGTCCTTTCGCTTGTCCCCGACGTACTTTGCTTCCTCCTCCTTCACCTCCTCCTTCGTTCGCGCTTGGGTCTCCCGCTGTTTAGCTGTCTCATCGTGTTGCTGTTGCTGTTGCTCATGTGAGGAAGCATCTTCCTGCTTGCGTGTGTTATCGTCCTTCTTGCGAAACGCGTCCTCGTTGCAGCGCAGTATCGCCTCTCTCTCCAGTTGCATCTTCTCTTCCTCGAGTTCGCGCAATTTGTGAGCCAGCCTTTCCCCTAAGTCACTGTAATGATGTGATGACTTGATGACATATTCCTTCTCAATTCGTATTAAACGTTTTTTTTTTTTTTAAGCAAACAAGGGCCAGAAAATGTTTCAGAAAAACTCGATATTTTTCTGATTGACATTTTCTTGGACTCTCAAAAAAAAAAAAAAAAAATATACATAGGAAAAAAAATTTCGTGGCATCGACAGATTATTTGTACCTGTTATACTCGCGAATATCGCCGTATCGCCACTGTTCCTCTTTCTCAAGAACCTCCATGATCTCTCGCTCCTTTTTCGTGATCTCGTCCTCTTCGGAAGAGGTCACGCTGGCGCCGAAAGGCTCGCTGCTCTGTCTGCTGTGCTGCGACATGTCAGGGCTAACGGGTTGCTTCGTCCAGTCCTCGACGTGGCCCAACTCGACTCCAGAGTCTCTTTCGTGGCTCGAATCTTGCTCGTAGTTACTGTCAGTGTCGTAGGAACGACGATGAAGTTGCTCTATGCGTCTCTCCTCAGCAAGAATCGCTGCCATGTCAGGTGGTTTCGTCAACGTCAACTCAGACTCGAGATCGTCGTCGTTGACCTGCTATTAACAAAGTGCAAAATATATATATATATATCTTAAAATAATATTCGCTCTTTTAAAAGAGAGAGATATAAGATTGATGAAAATTGCATACTTCAAAGCACAAAGATGAAAAAAAGAGAAAAGATATATTATATGAAAAATTGTAAAAATCTTAAAAATTTTATAAAGAAATTAAGATTTTCAAGATAGAAATAATAGATTTTTATTTTCGCGCTTACCCCTTCAATACCGAGAAAATCCGACCGCCTTGTGCGTAACTCTTTCTTTATTCTGCGAGTAGAGTTTAATCTTTTGAGCGGCTCTGGCGAAGGATTCTCATCGTCGTCTACCGGAGGTGGTGGTGGCTTTTCTTTTGGTGGCTCCACACTCGTTGGTGGATTCAGAAGAAAAGATTGATCAGCAGTTATCTCCTCGTCATTAGATAAAGTAAGTGGCAGAATCTGTAAATGTGCCAAAGATCAATTAAGAAGAATTCAATATTGAAATCAATATAATTTTACTTTATCGATTTCTCTACTTTTTCTCGAAAAAATTCAACAACTAAGAAACTTGTTTGACGATCTACTAACTTGTTTGGAAATCGGCGAAGCTGGATTCGGGATACGCAACGTGTCGACCAGACCAATTTCTTGTTTTGTCAAACTCAGATTCGCCGATCGCTCCAGTGGACGATCGACTGTCGACTTGACAATTGAAGCAATAGACGGGTCATGCACATCACTATTGACGGTGCACTTTTTCGTAGTGACGATGTTAGTACTGATGGTAGTGGCAGACATCTCGACACTGGTCGACATCTCCGTCGTTTCGTGCTGCTCGTGTTCGACTACTGAAGCCACTAGGCGGTTCGCAGCTGCCTCCTCTTGGTCCGTTTTCTCGATAACGATCCGTTCCTGAGGAGACGAATCGCAATGTACTCCGAGAGCTGTACATAAAATGCGGGCCGGATCTCGCACCGTGTGCCACACGAATTTTGCAACGTTCCATTCTATGTAAATTGACGGATCGTTTAAAACAATGTTTCTAGAAAAATCCACGAAAATTGTAGGCAAATAAATGTCGATTAAGCGACATCTCATTTCCAGCATAGTATTCTGACAATCTCTATAATTAATGTTTCAGAAATATATAAATTATGTCATTAAAAAATATTACATTTCAATTTCACACAATTATTCTAATTAATCTAAATATTTAAGAAATGCTAAAATATGTTTAAAAAATATTTAAAAATAAAAAAAAATTCTTTTAAGATTCTTGAAAATTATGTACCCATAATCAGCGAATTTAATGAAATAATCGTCATTAAATGATATAATATAATGTCTACTTGAACGTCACGACAGCATTGTCGCAAGCGTCTCTTCTCAGAAGTCAAAGTTGCATGAAAAATGTTGGGAAAAAGTTTCGCGTGCACTAGATGTGTAAGTCTTGCCGTGAGAATATGCGGGTATATTTTACCAGGTCGATGCGCGTTGCATAATGTTGCACGTCCGATGGATCTCGCGGATCCCTGCAATTATGTGTGCTTTTCTCTGCGATTTGACACGCCTTTACAAAGGAGATACAAGCGCATTGCGAAAACATCGATAAATGCGGACGCGAGAAGCACTAATTTTGAATAATGATCCAAATAACAATGGTTTACGATACATTTGTTAGAGCCGTCATATTATGCAATTTTTTTATACCGCGGATTATTCAAATATTTGTCGAAAAAAATATTATTGCATATAATTTATTAACTGTTAAATGCGATACCTCGTTGCAAAATATGTGGATAACATCGGGCGTTGATAAATATTTTTTGCAGAATGTTAATATAAATTAATGTGCTGAACACACATGGATAATAGGTGATTGGTAAGATATTGTTGAGTTAAACCTGTCAATTCTCAAAACTGTTTTTTCTTTGCATGCACTGTAATATTTTTTATAATAAAACTTATAAAAGCACCAACAGAAGATTCTAAAATTATAAGCGACAGAAGAATGAATTTTTGCTAATAAAGTTTTAGAGATACAAATAAACACTAAAAATAAAAAAATTAATGCGTCCAAAATAAATAATGGAATTATTTAATCAGCTGTTGAAATGCATTAAATGTTAATAAATCAGTTCAAAACTGATATATATTGTATATCCTAAAAAAATTTTCAATTCTCTGCAACTCTTGTCTCATTTCCACTCTATTTTTCAAGATCTTTTCTTTAAAAAATTGCATTTCTATGTAAATATCACTAAGCTAGTAGCTTACTTCGAATTTTTACTAAAAGCGGATACACGAGTAAGTAAGGTTCATAGCCCGTCAAGAAAGAACTACAGGTATCAAAGCAACGATCACATAATTCGCGTATATTTCAAATACTATAAATTAAAAAAATCGCACTTTATTAACACACCCGTTTAGTTTAGTATCCTTTACCTTACGATTCATACTCGCAAATTGCATGCAGGGATGGTACACACGCGGGAGAAGGAGAAACTACGTTCACTTTCTCAATTTACAAGCGGTATATCGTGCACACGCCTCGAAAATTGTACAGCCACTAGATCACCGTGATCTCAGGTGTTGTTGGACTGACTTAAAAGGCTTTGCGAGCACATGACATGATAAGGTCTTTCGGCGGTCGAGATAAGAGAGATACTTAGCCTCCGCTATCGCGAGGCTCGAATTCTCCAATGGAGTGCGGGTATAACGCGATACGTAATTTGTCAATTAAATGTGGTAATTTGATTCTAAATGAGATTGATAAGGAAGCGATTCGACTAGGGTCTATCTCACGTATATAGCGGCAAATCAAGCGCGTGCCTAGGGCTCGCGATAAATGATAATGGAGATATGTAAAATAAGCACGTATAAATGTAGAGATTTTAATTATCAAATAAAATTCTTTGTCTTTATATTTTTTATTTAATTGTATTTTTTTTCTTTGTTTATTATTAAAATAGAAAGAGTAGAAAATCGAGTATTTGTCCGAAGATAGGCCCTGATTTCGAAGAAGCTCTCCGTACAGCCATGCGTGTCTCGTGAAATTTGTACGATTCGTTCTGGGATCTACTAAAAAAGAAAGCCGTTCGCCGACACGGTATTCTCCGGGGCTAACACACAGCTCAGGCAAATCGCTGCTTGCGCGATGCAATCAAAAATATATGACGTCTTACCTCTTCAGCGTATCGAGGACGAGACATGTGGAAAGAAAGCGATCGCGAGGCTTGCGCGCCGACAAACGAGTAACAATCGTTGATGGAAATATCATTGACGGTGGCATGGATGCTTTTATCATCGGCACGTCAACATGAACTCTTTATTAATAATTAAATGTCATTGCGATTGACCTTTGACTTTGCGCGCGTCACGAAAATGATGTATCTATCGTGTACTTTGAACGCGACTGTTATTAAAAGCGTATATTTATGTACTCTATTAATATAACCTGAAGATAAACCGTCTCAGGTTTTTGCATCGACAAATTTTAATTTCTGGATGAATTTCATGCTAATAGTTCAATTCTCGATTCTATATATCAGGAAATAAAAATTGAAATTAACAAGCACATCTTTGGAGCCAATTCGGAATTGATTTTCTCAAGTGATTAATATATCGAAAAGAAACACATATTAGAATAATTTTTTAAGATAATAATATATAAATTGATAAAAGCAAAATGAAATTTTCTAATCGAATAAAATCCACATGAATGTGTGAGAAAAGAATACAACACGGCGAATTTCGTTGGCCAGTGTTTTGTATCTTATGTATTTCATCGTTGCTCGTTCTCTTTCGCGGTCGACCGCTACAATCCATGACAATTAATCATAATCGCGCGTCAAGTGTCGGCGAATTCTTTTAAATTCGCTACAAGACCGTTACAAGTGAAGCAAGTTTTACATTCATGCGTTTGCTTCGAGAACCGTTTGCACCGCGATATCGCCTATACAGTTTCTCGTGCGATTGATAATTCTAATCGCATATACTCGACTTAATACGATTGATCGCATTCGGTAATTAAGATTGGAGGAGCGATTGAATGTTATCACAATGGCTTATTCTCTCGTACGATCGATTTCAGCAATCTTCAATCTTAATTTAAAAGTATTCGTTTTTTTTCTTTTTTTTTATTATAGTTTAACTTTCCCAAATTATGATTTGTATAATTTGAGAAAGTTACAGTGAAATTACGATCGACGTTGCCGAAATCGGTCGTCGATATCTTCTTTAAACGGCAAATGCAATATCCGACAGCACTTGGACGCCTGCTGTTACGTCGCAGACATACCGCAAACATAAACTTTATTGCAAATCGTTATGCCGTTATAATGTATATAGAGTAACCGTTACAATGTACAAGCGCTTTTGTATATATAACCCGATTAAACTCTATATAATAACGGTGATTATCTCATACCTTCGCACCTGCCTCGCGCCTATTTACACGACTAACTGACAGTACAGTTTAAGTTTAATTTTGCACTCGCGCGATATGCGTAACAACGTAGAAGTGATAATGACCTGTGCGTTATGCTAATCCCTTAGTAATAATAATAATAATCCCCTCTCGAAGGATTTCAAGAACTAGCGGCAGAACTCGCGAGACCGGATGACTCTTATAAAAATGTAAACGTTTTAACAGTCGACTCATCGGTTGATAGAGCGAGAACACCGGTTAAACCGTAGCCACAATAAAATTGCTCACGGCATCATTCTCTCAATATGTCACATATTGAAAATCTGACGTTTCTCGCACTCTGTAGCCCCTCTCAAGATGTAATCTATGTACAACATCTAGCACGGCTTGTCTAGAGGCTGATCGAAAGCGGAGGACAGTACTAGTTATTGCGAAAAAAAAAGATCGCACTTTAAGACTTTTTCGAGGCGTTGCCGGCTTGCTGTTGATCGTTTCTAACCTCGGTCACAGAACCCTGCTTGTCCGCGTTTATCAAGCGGTTCACCGTGATGAACGGCGTCACTGGCGGCGTCGTAGGAGTCTTGCCCTGAGGTACTACCACCTTTTCGCAAACTTCCACCACGGTTCGACGTCGTTCCGCAGGCAATAGCGTCTCTTCGTGGTGTCGCGTGTTTCCTGAGATGAGTCTCGACGAAGGAGAGGAGGGAAGTACAAATTGTTCCGCTGGGCTCGGAGAAGAGGAAGATTCGACGATGGTCGCGCAAATAGGAAGAGCTGTTTCGGACATTCTCCGAATCGGGCTGGAAGTCTGACTTGTCGAAGACTTGTTACTCGCGCTGGACTCCTTCGAAGGCAAAGTTTTGAGAGCGGACGAGATCAAGACAGAGTCGGAAGGTGAGGACTTGACAATTTTGCGAGAAAGGGGAGTGGGAATCTTAGATATCGTTCGGGAAGACGTAGGTTTGGAAAACGGAGGATTGGTTTCGAGGAGGGGACCAATTGAAGTCGTCATCGTTTTGACGAAGGGGAAGGATAATTGGTAAGTTTCCGCGCTAAGAATGACATCCGAGGATGGCGGAGACGGAAGAGTGTCGGAGGAAGAGTGTTCCTTGACAAGGTTCTGCCGCTTCATTTGGCCAACGAATTTCGGTATCGCTTGCTCAATGGAGAGTTTCAAACTGGCTGATACTATAGACTCGTTGAGACTCGGTTCGGAATCTGTCTTGAGCTCGGCCGCGTCTTTGCCGAACGTCTGCGATTTCGAGAAGCTTTCGGAAGTTATTTCTCGCGAAGGTACCTTGGAAATCGGATGAGTGGCCGCGCGAAACACCGAGGTATACGAGCGAGATGTATTAGGATTAGTAGTGGTCTCTACGTGCGGCTGTGATTTGTTAGTCGATAGTTTTCCAGAGCTGTCAGCAGTACCCTACAGAATCAGAGAGTTATACCCGATTTGTAGTCATTCAACCATAACCAGAAAAAAGAGATGTGAAAAGAAAGAAAGATAGCAAAGAGTTGGTAAAAACAATAATTGAATTTAAAATGCGAATGTATATAGGATGTAGAAGGAATCAGTTAGTAATGGAATTTTATGTGCTCTCATTCGAGTCTGTATAAAAAAAAAATATCTATACTTTGCGTTTACTTTAACTTGAAGACTCGTTTCTCGTTGAAACTTTCTGGGTTTATTTCGTGTATTTGGAATTTCGTAAACATTAATATTTTACTCACCTTGTTCACCGCTACTGCCTCCCGGGGACTGGTAAACTGCAAGTGAGTGGCCGTCGTGGTATCGTTCGGCGCTTCGACAGTCATGTTTGGCGTCGACGCGTCCTCCTGGATAATGGAAGTAACAGATGGAAGTAGCTTGGCCCTCTCTTCAACGATGACTTCTCGTCTTGGTTCGACGATTGCGCCGCCGGTATGATGCGCGATCTCCTCGTCGATCGGTTCGTCCGCCTGGCTGACGGAGCAGCTCACATCCGCGGTGTGAATACCCGAGTCCTCACGGTCCGTATCGTTCAGGAGTTCTGCGGACGATGACGAGGCGGGATATCGCCGCCCGTAGTCGAGCTCCTCGAGGCTCTGCACGCGCTCGAAGGTGTCAGGTCCACTAGAAGCGTCGGCGTCCAGGGAATCCAAGCTCCTATGGAAGACGGCACGAGGTACACGGTACTCCGAATCGGGCGACGAACTCCTCTCGCTGGGCGTTGACGTATCAACCCTGTTCTCCTGATCTCGAAAACAGAGTGGATGTTTACTGACATGCGTGGGTCCACGTTTATCTGCCGCGTCCTTGTTTCTACCGACGTCATTGAATGCACTGAAGCGATCCTTGATCGTCCTGGCGGTTAGCTCGCCATTGCGCGAGCGCGACTCGTTCGTCGTGGTCGGTACCGAGGACTCATCGCTGCTACTGTAGTTTTCTAGAGTAGATAGACTTTCCCTAAGAGGCCTCACCGTCTCCAGATCTTCCGTGCTAAGCTTGCGGTGAACGGAACTTTTGTTCTCTCGCTCCGAAGCTTGTTTCTCCAAATGGGTGAGCCTCTCCCGGATCGAACTCATGTCACCGGATAAGCGATTAAGCGACTTGCTGGTAGTTTTATCGCCGTTCTCAGTCTCGTACTTTTGCCTCTCAAGACTCGACAGCCTCTCTTTGATCGATTTCGTGCCGGTAAAGTCACCGGATAACCTGTTGTTTGTCTTGCTGTCGCTACTCTTCTGTGACGCCTTCTCGAACACTTCGCGTCTTTTGAGTATATCCACCTTTACCACCGATAGAGGCGACTTACTGCTGTCGTCATTCAAGTTCGTCTTGGAACCGTTCATCGACGACTTGGTCGCCTCTAGCTTGGAATCGATCCCGGTTAAAGACCTTCTTGGTATATTTTGCGATACCCTCGAGACGTAACCGCGAATGGCGCCTTCATACGTGTATTCTTCCGGTTCAGGTGAGCTCATCGTTGCGGTAGTAGCGGAATCGTACTCCTGATTATGACTGTGACTGTCGTGAAAACCACTGAATATTTTCCTCGTCGGGGTGGACGTCGTTATTGTCGTAGTTGCCGTCGGCATCGCCGCGGTAGTTTCCGCCATCGTCATCGCTATTGTTGTCGCTATTGCGCTGTTGTCGCTGTTGCATTCTGATGTGGTCGCGAGTGTCGTCATTGTTGTCGGCAGCGTTGTAGTAATTGTCATCGTGGATGAAATTACATCGGTAACGTTGTCCACGTCCGAATGGCTTTTCTCGATCTCACTGTCCCTGTCACTCTAAAATTTTACGAGAGTAATATTATCTCGATCGAATGACAGTTGTGACGATAAGTTCAAAATTAATAATTTTCCTCTGTAGTAGAAAACGTTGTATTTTAATCTCTAACACGCAATGTTACTCTTTTTCCGTTAATCTATCCTATTACTATATACCCTATATCTTTCGCATATATAAAATACAGAAACAAATCTCAATTGATAAACGACAATTAAAATCTAAATAAGTACTTGTAATAAAAAATATAACATATGTGATATAAACAAACAAACATACAGCGGTCATGGGCACGTAACGGATGAATGTGTTTTAACGAGATTCCGGTGATAAATTGAATATTATTCATAAGCCTATACTTTTTCGCAGATACACAAATTCATAATTCCAAGAAAACGAAGCTATTTATAAATTCATAAATAATTTGTAAATGAATCTTGCAAATTCTTCATATAAAATCAATGTGTCGATAGATTAAAAAGTTGCCCTTCGATAAAAGTAAATCGAATGCAAAATGTATTTAAATAGATACGTACCAGAACACTGTGCGTGTCGTCATGCGTATCGCCGCTGACCGAGCTCTTGCCGCTGCTGGTACCGATTCCAAGGTCACTGAGATCGTTCGCATCCTCGTCGTTGTACATAGCCAAACTGATACTCAATTTGCGACCTCTGTTACCGCGTTCCTCCATCATTTCCGAAAACGTTTTGTTCCGACGACGCTGACGATCGTGTTCCTCCAATTCGAGTTTCTTCACCTCTACCACTCGCTCGATTATATGTTCCTGCCGCTTCCTCCGGCTACTCTTCCAGTTATCTAAATTCTGCGGACAAATATTTCGTTATTAAAAAAAAGTTGCATTAATCTCTAATCTAATCCTTAATTTAAAAAATTCTACATATACATATAAGATATATAAAAGTACAATATATGTGTGTGATATTTAATTAATTTCAGTAAAAGATTTGAAGTCTCTTTGTAAATTTTGCGATTTTGTATGAGTGTAATGAGTTAATATGTACTTTTATTTTTTAATATCTTATATTGTGATAAAAATATTAATAGAAAAAATATAGCAAAACTCAGAAAAAAAATTTTATACATATAAAATAGATTTATAATCAGAATATCAAGAGTCCATAATTAGCTAATTTTAAATAATGTTTGAATAAATTCAAAATTATCGTATGTAAATATAAGTTAGCGAATTGCAATCGAAATATCTCTCCTTTTTTATTAAAAAGATGTGTATCGAATTGAAGGCTTACCGATTGCCAATCTTCGGGATCATCGCGAACTTCCTGTTTGATCTTCTTTACTTCCTGAACTTTTTGCAGTTGCTCTTGCGCGGTTCGATATAGCGAACATGGTCCGACCTTGACGAATTGTAAAGGATTGGTTGCTTGCTTGGGAGGCGTTTTCAAAGTAGTTTTCAATTTCGGTGGTTCATGCGTCTGCTGCTGTGAGATAATGGACGAGATCACGTATTTAGCAATTTTTGTTCACATATTTAATATATCACAACAAAACTCGAAATGGCAGAAAATTTAGATGAAACTTATACGTAGAGTGTACAATATTTTTGTTTGTTCAAGTGGAGTATAATTTTTCGTGAAAATAAAGATTAGAAAAGTGTATTGTCGAATTTTTAAATTTTCGTATTCCGTACAAAGTTTATCTTGTTTTAAGGAATTACAAATATCCATTTTTATTAATCGTGGATTATATATATATATA